ATAACAAATAAATTAAGAATAATTCATCTAAAATCACCACTCAAGGGAGTCACACTTCATAGAAAACATCACAATAACAATCATGCTCCATAACACAAGTTACATCAATGTTTAAAATGCATCTAATTATATATCATCATATCATTTAAAATCGTCGCAGTGGAAATCATCGTCATAAAATAACTTCATTTCATCTTTCAAAAACTCAATGTATTATAGTCTCATCAAAAGGTATAATTAAAACACTTTAGCATCCGATAATCTCATAAAAACATGTTAATAAAATTACATCATTCGCAAAACATAGCATCCCAACCCGATGTTACATATCAGAGCAAGACACCACTAATGTAGCAAACTAAATAAAACACTCAAAAGCTATCATTGACGCTTCTATGAACTACTCCTAGTCACCTGCATGTTACCCACGTTAAGGCAACATTCAAACAGAAAGGATAAGTAATCACAATTCATTATAAAATATATAAAAAACAGATGAGTAGTTACAAACAATCTCATCATATAACCACACATTTTATCCATCAACACGTCACACTCATAAATACATCACAATAGCACTTATACATCATTCATCATCAAATCATCATATATCCACACAGTTCATCATTACCATCACATCAAACTCATCATAAAATCATGCAATGTCATATAGAATGTTAATGCACAAAACATCACATAAAATTCGAGCATGGCTAGTCAATTGCATCATCATCCATATAAATGTCACATATCATGTATTATATATTTAAAACATGCACATCATCATAATACCATCAGAACACCATCGTCAACATCACAACAACATCATACTCATCATTAAAACAAATAGAACCTTATAATATAACAAACATGTAATAAATCAATATCATCAACACATAGGTACTAAAATCATGCATCAAACAATTCAAATAACCCTGTCATGATATAGTTTTAGGCGTTATCTTCCCATGGCTTTGAAGGACGCATCAAATAGAGTTCGGAAACTCAAGTTACGACACTCTGAAAATGCTGTTAGGGTTGCTCGACCAATGATGCTAGAGGCACTCTGCTTGCCTGTTACTCGCCCGACGAAAGACGTGATTGGGATCATCACTGCCTCGATCGCCCGATGATGCTAGGGCGATGATCCCCTCCCCATACATTTTCCAGATGCTCACTTTTTCACCCATTCCCTTGCTGCTTGTCTCGCCCGACGATGCTTGGGCGCTCTCCTCGCCCATTACTTGTCTGACGGTGCTCGCGAAACTGTAACTTCTCAGTTGCAATTTCTACACTGTCCAACCCCATTCCAATTTTGATTGTAGTACCAAACTCCATCCAAAATGCATAATAATCATCAGATATCACATATTAACATCAAATTACATCATCACATCATATTCAACACAAATCACAATATACAGACATCATAAATCTATAATTTCATCATATATTTCATCAAATAATCACAAACAACAAAACTTACTACTACGTTAACCTCTTATAAATCATAATAAATCGAGACTAAACCTCTTACCTCAAATTCCTATCAATTGATACCTTCCTTCGCGTTCTACGAAATTTTCCTCTGAGCCCTAGGCTCTTCTTCGCGTTTTCTCCTAATTCTACGATCGCACAAAATGATCGTTATTATTCTATTTTATCTTTTTACCCCTAGAACCCTTTCTATGACACTCCCTTTATGCCCCCACTTATTGCCATGTATTACCACCATGCCCTCATTATCTCTACACACCAGTTATTCTATTTAATTATTATTAAATAATTATAAATATTACAAACTAAATCATTTACATCTAAATAATTCTAACTAGCACCTTAATCCACACTATCCCACAACACATTATCATACATCACGCAGATAATCATCAAAAGTACATAAATAATCAATTAAATAACTAAATCTAGATTTTGGGGTGTTACACATGCCATCTCCCACATCTATTGGATGAGTGGAAAGAGTCCGGGTGGACTATGCCCAACTCGACAAGATATTACTAAGATTCAGGTGGCTTCATAGCCCATTTCAGACGAGCGATGGCTTCGTTGGATGACTCTCTACTCGGCCATGTGTTGGCCTTCCTCACTTTTACGTAAGCGGTCCCCTATTGGGGCCCATTAAAAATATATCACTACAAGTGGTTATTAGGGACGGTAGGGTTGATGGGGAGTCCTAACCATCTAAGAATGGTTATTTCCCTCCTCCATCTCTATGAAGGGATGCCTCATTTGAAGCCATCAAGTTTATCGAGAGCCACCTCCCATTTCTCGAGAATATCCACTTTTATTATCAAGGTCTTCATAATAAGTCATCACTTGAGTTATCATATATGGCCTAAAATCACCTACTAAGGGGCCTTCTGATAGAACAAGTTCAACGAGAGAAGCATACTTAAGTCCTTAATGAATTAAAGACTAAGCTTGTCATGGCTCAAGGAATCATCACCCAATGTGATGACCCAAATAAAAGAGAAAGAGGTTTTGAATACCTTACTTAGAACAATGGTTGTAAAGGCGCAAACACACACCATCGTCACCGTGAAACTAATGGATTCTCTTGAAGGGACCCTAAATTTTTTAAGAAACCTGAGGAGGAAATGTATGCATTTAAAGATGACCTTTTGGAGAATTTATACCAATACTTTAAGCGGGAGAAGAAAATATTGTCTTCTTCTATCTAGGGTTGGATTTGAGTCAGATGGAGTTGTTCAAGGTGGTCTGTGGAGGCCAGTTAGTGGATGACGAGGAGATCCCACCTATTTGGGAATTTGCCTTGACCAATTCCTAAGCGAGAGAAGATGTAGTTCGCTTTAGGGACGCATTAGAGGATCAATAAGTTTAGGGCTTATTTATTTGTGCCTCTAGCAACCCTTTTATAATAACACCCAGTAAAGGGGTTTTGTAATTATCTTTCCTTATCATTTTTATACTTTCCCCCCTCCATTGCTCTTAATTGAATTACGTGTCTGTATAATTCCAATTTATCTTCATGGATTACTTCATAACATGGTCTTAGTTGTTATTCTGAAAAATGAGGGCTTTCTCTTAGGGATACTAATATCGCTCAAAGGGCGAAAATGATTATTTTGTGGGAATTCAACATTTAGGATCACCTTGAGGGGAGTCAAGGATTTCTTCATGGAGATCCAGTGTGTAATCATCTCGAGGGATATGACTCTTATATAAGGATTCAATATGTATAATCGCCTTGAAGGGCGGCAAGAACTCAAGCAAAAGGATCGAGCCTATATGATCGCCCCGTGGAGAGATCTTGATAAGAACCTTTTTCTCCTTAATTCCTTGCAAATAAAGCACCAATAATTCAAATTCATAGAATGAGAGTGACTGGTCTCATTAAAAACCCATGTGTGATGTAGGCAACTTATGGGAAAAAAGTGCCTCATACAAAATAAAAGAATGTCATCAAATTATACTTACAAGCGAAAGAGGTCGTAACTAGCTTAAATAATACAAACAATAAATGAAATTAAGATAAATGAAGTCCAAACGACTTTAAAATTATCATTATTTGACAAAAGATATTTTCATGTGGCCTTCGTGTCCATCTGGCTTAGAGTGGCCAAACTCTCATCCACAAGAACTTCCTTTAGTTGTTTGGATTCCAACTTCATGTTTAAAATCAAAATATCACAATTCACCCTCTTTCGTGTTTGAAGTCGTTTATTTAATAATTGTTGTATTTTCTAACACCAATTGGCTATGTTATTTTACCCATGCTTCTCAATTTTTATCTTTTCTTTCTTTGTTTGGATCTGAATATTTAGATCTCGGCTAATCTTACAATGTATAAGCGAAATTCATTGCATATGATATTGACAGTCTTTTTTTTTGTTGCATAAATTAGTATACATTGTATCAACTATATTTTGACACAAACTATAATTTCCATACAACTTATAATTGCAGCCAGTATGGGTCCAATTCTTGCCATAAGTACTTCTGGTATATAAATCAAGCAAAATCAGTACACTTCAGCATGCTCAATGATTGGAGATGTCAATTTTGTACCAAGAAATATGGTTTTGAATCGAAAAGTTTATTAATAATGATATTTTTTAAGGTTTTTTTTATTTATTATGGAGGAGTTGGAAGAGTTTGAAAGAGTAAAGAAGATGATCATGCAAGATGGTCATATATTCAAGTTTCCATTGAACATTTTCGTATTTACATCTTCGAAAATATTATTGAGTGGTTAAAAGAAATTCCTTCGTACAAAAAAGTGACTTCAAAGATGTATATGCGAATTTATTCTATTGTGTATTTGGAGATACATGTCCAAACTAAATTCTAGACAAAAATTGATATCTCCGAATTCACCAAAGACATTTTTAAATTTTCAAAGGTGCGCCTCAATATATAGGTGTAGAGAGAAATCGCCGTGTTTGTTAGCTATAGCTAATGGGCCTGGCCCGTTTTATGTTTAATCTCTTGTCGCAATACAGCCGAAAACGAAGCAGAGTTTTGGAGACTCCGTGTACTTTACGGTCGTATCCCATTGTATTGGTATCTGTACAGTACACATAGCGTATTCCAAGGGTTTAGACAGAACAAATGACTTGACAAAACCACTACCCCTTCATCTTCAACGTAGCGGTATCGAAACTAAACGCAGAGGGAACATCAAAAGTTCTGTATCCCATCGTTAACGTCTCTCTTTCCCTCTCTACCAATCAATATTACTATCATAGCTTCCAAAACGAATGCACATTCCATAGATTTCGGTGTCGAAACCGTTCCTGTATCGCGTTCACTTTTCATAGGTTCCAAGCTACTAATCTAATTGCTCCGACTCGGTAACTACGTTTCATTTCGTGTTGATTGTGATAGTAGCCATATCCAACCGAAAATGTACTGTATTGAATTTTACTCCAAAAATATCATGGGAACAGTTCAGGTAATCTTTGCGTTGATGCTGCTGATTACTCCTTAAAAAGGTCTTTGCGTTGATGCTTCTTAAGATGGAGATAACCCTTCAGAACTTAAGGTACTGCATATGCATTCTGCCTATATCAAATCAGGATAATGTGATTGGAGAACTTTGCTGACTGACTTTACTTTTAGTTGTTTATTCTGGGTTTTTTTTTTGTTGTGATTTACTTCTGAAGAACATCTCATTTTTTTCTGTTGAACTTTTTCTTTCTCTCATGTCATAACTTTTTATCTTGTATTGAAAAAAATTAAAATAATTCAGTTATAGGTTAATCCCATCTTCATTTTAGAGTCTGCAATTTATTAATTATGATGTATTGAAATTATTAAGTAATTGATGGGTACCCGTTCAATGCAAAATAAACTTGGACAATTTCTGATATTTATTGATACAAACAGATTTAACTTCATAGAATCACACACAAATCTCATATAATAACTCCAAGATTTCAAGAGTCTTGATCTCTCCCCTTTCCAAGATAACCACATAATAACTCCAAGATCCCTTCTGTTTGGCCCTTTTTCATATTTATTTTTATTACAAACTGTTAGACACGAGTCCTTAATTAGGATAGTAAGGGTCTTGTTAGTCAATAGGAGGCAATTTTATTATTAGTAGGCCGTTTTTATTAAAGATAACTGTCATTTGTAACTGCAATTTTAGAATAGGAATTAATTAATTAGGAGAATGAGAGTGTTTCCTATAAATAAAGGGGGTGATTGATAGAGAAAATATCTTGGAATTTGGTTGGAAAGGGATCATTTTGCCATTAAAGGAGGTAAAGACCCTCGAAGTTCTGCGGTATTATTTTATAATTCAAAAGGATTTTCCCTATTTCCTTTTGTATCAGTTGGTTTCTATCAATTGGTATCAGAGCACTTCTTATCGGGGACATGAAAAAAATCGGAAAAAACTGAGTGGTCATCAAGAATGGAAGGAATGTTTGGTATTTTTCATTAAGTGTTGAAGGAATTTAGAGATTGGAGAAGAGGACTCAAAGAGTTACGACTAACAATACCAATCTTTGAAGGAATGGATGTTGTCGGGTGGATTACCAAGGTTGAGAAATATTTCGATGCTGGAGGTATATAAAGAAGATCAGATACCAAAAGTTGTGCAGTGGATGAGTGGTAGAGAGGTGCCAATTATGGGTTTCAGCCAATCCATTTGCTTTTGATTTTATTCTCTTGTAATCACCTTGATTTTATTATCTTGTTAGACACGAGCTCTTACTTAGGATACTAAGGGTCTTGATAGTTTATAGAAGACAGTTTTATTATTAGTAGGCAATTTTTATTAAAGATAACTGTCATTTGTAACTGCAGTTTTAGAATAGGAATTAATTAATTAGGAGAATGAGAATGAGAATGTTATTTATAAATAGAGGGGGTGATTGAGAGAGAGAATGTCTTGGAATTTGGTTGGAAAGGGGTCATTTTGTCATTAGGGGAGGTGCAGACCCTCGAAGTTCTGCGGTATTATTTTGTATTTCAAAGGGATTTTCCCTATTTATCAATCGGTTTTTATCACAAACATACACACTGAAAACAAATAAAACACTGCACAATAACTGTCAAATGAAACATAACTGCAACAAATAGAACATAACTGCATCAAATAGAACATAACTGCAACAATACTAACTAAAGTCAGTGTTTGTGTCTCCTCACATGTTATGTTTCTAATTGAGAGGTCTAACAGGAATATAATCAAATATTCTAGAAATACATTATTGATATACTTGTAGCTGACTCCAGCTAACTTTTATTGCAATGTAACTGTAATAATAGATTGTGTATACATGTACAGAGGAATGTTCAAAATTATGATATTTCATAATTGTCATTGTGCAACTTTCCTTGAAAGAGTAAATATTATCAGGATGGTGAAACCCCCACTTCCTCAGTTACCACAAAGAACATGAAATAACACCATAGTTATGAAAGTTATTTATTAGTAGATGATACTGCATGTCCGTAAGATCTGCCTGTCATAAACAGGAAACCAAGATTAAACTATAAAACTCTGACTAAGTTGCTAGTGCTTACCCCCATGATGCATGTCTCCTCATTTGTCTCCAGTGTTATTGGAGAATGATGGAAATTCTCCTGTTTCAATATGTTTTTGGTCTTGTTAATGCTTAGGTGATCGGTACAACATAGAAAGTCCTATATTTGTTCTAACAGAATCAATTTTCGCTTCATTTTAATTTGTTTCAGTAGTATATTTAAATTTGAAATTTTCATGAAAAGGAATGATATGCAGGATAATTTGTTTTGTTGTGGTGGCTAATATATTAATATGTTCAATTGAACTGGCTGTGCATGTTTGGGTTGGGAGCAAGATAATTTAAAATGATTTGAAGTTTCTCCTTTTACTCTTCTCCTTTCTCTAACAGGGTGTGGCTTTTGTCATTGATGGCTGTGCTCTTGAGATTGCGCTTAAGCACTACTGCAAAGCTTTTACTGAGCTGGCAATATTGTCAAGGACTGGTATATGTCGTCGTATGACACCATAAAAAAAGCACGGTATATTATACATCTTTATCTGCATTCAACTGCCATTGTTTCATCATGTAATCCTTTTTAGTTATTCTTTCTGCCCTTTTCACACTCCTGATATGCTGGTGGCTCGTACAACACTGTAAGGGGAAAAAACGACGGATGTCTTTTAAGTTATAAGTTTTATCTTCCTCCAAGTAATTAGGTTAGAAAAGAAAAGTAGATTTTCATAGTGAAGATTCATAATTGATATCTAAAATTTGACTGTTTTCTGCTGTTAGCATGAATTAATAATTGAAATTCCGTATTTATTATTATGTTTTGTACCATTTACGTTCATTGCATCCTTATTACGAGTTAAAAGATGACATTTGTTAGTTATTAAGAATCACCATCACTAATCAAACTCATTATTATGGAATATGGACTAATAGTGCCTGTGTTTTTGTTATCTCATGTGTCCAATTTCTCGAATACAAAATACTGCCTTTGTGTTGCCTGTGATTCAACTCATTAAAAAAGTTATGCTGGTTTAATCTGGCACTATTTGTCACAACTTGTGCAGATCTTAAAATCGTGTAATTATAGAACATTTGCAATTGGTGTTGTGGGAATGATGTAGGGATGATACAACATGCTGATATATACATTGGCATTAGTATACAAGAAGGATTGCGGGCTGCAAGGCTAGCTGATTTATAGTATTGGAAGTAAGCATTTTTATAATATTTTGTGGTGCAATCATGATGTGTCTATACAAGTTCTTGTATACATCTTTTTCTTCTTTTGCCTAGATGAATCTTGAGAGGAAACAGTAAGTCTTAGAATTCTAGTTGAACCTAACTCAACCTTACAAAACCGGTTCGTAAGGTGAGGATTGCCCCATCTATAAACATGTTTTCAGGTCATATCACATCCTAGGTGGGATTCTTAACACATCTCCTCATGCCCAGCTCTATTGAGCTTGGTGCGTGGATAGAAATGGTGGATGAACTGATAGTGGAAATTTGATAGCAAGTGGCCCAACAGATTTTGGATAGCCTCTAATAGTCTAAGACCTCTTAGAATTTGATTTGGGTCTAACTCAACCTGACAAAACCGACTTGTAAGGTGATGGTTGCCCCCACTTATAAGCATATTTTTCAGACCATATCTCATCCGATGTTAAACTCGTCAATAAGATTGCTACCTTTTGAGTCACCTGCATGCATCTGCATGGTTCAAGTTATGTAGCCGTCCATCATCAGAACCTTGTCAATAATTTTTCCATTTTATTCTCAGCAACCTTGATTTGACCCAGCAGTCTTTTGAAGTTTAATCTTTTTATCATGATTGTAAATTATAGGAGGCTAATATATTGTTCGCATCCTATTATTTGCAGATGACTGTGACATTTTATCTTCGATATGAATTCCGCTCATCATAATTTGGCAGAGTTTAGGTTCTTGGAAAGTTAAATTATTGTCCATGGACGGTATTCTTACAACTGCACATAATTTCTTTCTTGGTACTCATTCTATAAGTCCCTACTCTCGCGTTTCATCCAACTCTTGTAAATTTCTGCCAACGATTGCTTCTCATTCTATAAGTTAAATTATCTTGAAAATAGATCTTCCTACCTACAGTGGACTACATAAAATCCATCTTAATGAGAGCCATAGAAAAAAAATTAGTAATAACAAGGAAAAATTAGGACTGTATGCTCTCTTGTTTCTTTTTCCTTGTGTTTTTTTAATTTTTGGCTTTAATGTGGTTCTTCTTAATCGCTATGAATGTTGCTCTGCAAGAAACACATTTCAATTTCTTCTTTTTGTTCTCAAAATTGTGAGGCAATAATAATAATAATAATGCATTTTCAGTTTTTCATTTATTTCAGGCGACTCTTCTTGAACCCGAGCGAACCAGCCTCTTCAATTCTCTTAACTTGATGGTTTATTATGTTTTGTACAAGTGTTCATGTTGCTTTTTAAATGGTACAACAAATTCTTCTCAATTTTGGGTAATTATTAGATGACTATTTTTTAAGTACTTTGCATATTTTTTCATGTTTGATGGAAAGTTTCTTGCTTTATTCACCCCACCCCTCTAAGATAAATAGCTACCCCTCTAAGATAAATAGCTCCTCTTGATGAGGGTGGGCCAACGCAAAAGTAAGGTAGCCTTAAGATAGGGTGGTCACTGTTTCTTACTTGCAGAAACAGACTTTTTTTTCCTTCTTTTGGGGGGATAGGTGGGGGGAGTAAGAGTAAGACTACATACATATCCCACCCTTCTCTCTGCCAATTAGTAGGAGGCTATTGCTCATCTTATAGAACACCGAATTCCTGTCATATCCTCTACTGTCTTGCAGCCCAAGATTTCACATTCTGATGAAAACTTGTCCCATAATTTCCCATTCAAATCATATGTACATACTGATATCTCTTTTCCCTTTTCCCCAATAGTTTTCGTTTCTTTGCATAATAGTAATATATATATAATGTGGTGTATACATATTAAAAAGGTTGTCTAAGGTAGACATGGTCTACACTACATTGATCATTGCATATGTCAATGCCACTTTGATCTTCACTTTTTCTTTTTTGCTGAAATTAGTATACATTGTATCGGTTATATTTTGACACAAACTATAATTTCCATATAGCTCACAGTTGCTGCCACAGCCATCATGGGTCCAATTCTTGCCATAAGTACTTCTGGTATATAAATCAAGCAAAATCAATACACTTCAGCATGCTGCCAATTTTGTACCATGAAGCTCCAGCTTAACAGTAAATACTATCATAAAACTTAAAAACTAATTCTCTCTCTTAGAAGACAAATGTGTAAAAGCAATATCAATTACCCAACAAATTTAATATCACTTTAACTTTCTTAATTTTCATGATTTTGCTAAAGATCTTATATTTAAGGACCATAGTTTATATTCTAAATTTTTTACTACTTTTTACCAAACTTTCTAAAAGTTTGAAATTATATATTTTTTTCTGAAAATTTTGCCTACTTTTCTGAATCTCATCTAATCAGTAAAAACTTGAACTTTTTTACTGTGGTAGTTTAAGAGGACAAAATATGAATGTGTAACTTGACTCTTGATAAGTTCAAGCTATTAGCAGACTTTTCAGATTGGTTTGTCATCTTTTGTGTGAACGCTTTGTCAATCTAATGGTTTGCTCTAGGCATTTTGTATAGTTTGTATATGCATTCATAATTGTTATGTGTCAGAATATGCCATACTATATTTTAATACATTTTGCATATAAAACAACTAGTTAAACCTGATGATCTTACTAAATATCATTTAATAATCTTACCAAATACGAATTCCATGTTAAAGTGTACTAGCCAACAAGCCAACCTAGGTCTATGTACCACTCTCCATTAAAAAGTGGGGTTATGGCTATGCTACTATAGTTGAGGTCTTTTAAAAACAAGTAATCAATGTTCTGTATGCTTGATAGCAACATCAACGCTATTAAATCCAAGTAAACGAAGTCTAAATCCGCATGGTAATTAAGGATGTGAACACACTATAAACACAAATTTAGGTACATTTTCAATGGTATGGAAGCAACGTAATATAATATTAATCGAACATCCCTTGTCAGGACTCAACCATAAAATGAACAAAAACTTTAGCATTGATTGAAAATGAAATGCACAAAAATTCAAAAGCATGGAAAATGTATATGATAGCATTCTGCATTGAGAAATGTATATACATGCATCAATATATTGGCCTATATGACAAAGATACAAGTATACCCATTCCGAAATGTCGGTAGTTTCTTTCACTTGAGAAAAGAGAGGAAAAAAAACAGTAACAAAACAAGAGTATGGTATGGGCTGGTTGTCCCACAAAAGCTGCTGTTTTAATTGATCTTCTATAAACGAATTTTGAAATTATGACACAAAAGTAAAAGTGAAGATAGAGATAGAGGGGACCTGAATAAAAACCCCAAAATAGGTCAATTTTAGCATGGGTTGTTCCCCCATTCCCACACCATTATGTGTGAGTTTATGGGTATCAGTACCACCTAGCTATAACACAATACTATAGTAGTGTAGTACCTTACCAACCCAACAAATTAACCCCACAAAAAGACTTATTCTGTACATGTCTATGTTAATATCCACCTCAACCTCAAGTTTGCATTGCGTCGTTGTAACTACGAACTGACAAGTTTGTGTTGTTGTAACTATGAAATATGGTCTAAAAACCTTTAACGTTTTTTTTTATAAATATTATCTAAATTTGCGTCGTTGCAGTTATAAAATATAGTCTATTTTAAATGTAAAAATCTAAAGGTTTTTTTAGTCTAAATTTATATTGTTGTAGATGGTCTTTGTATGGGCTATTTTGAATGTGAAAACTTTAATTGTTTTTAAGTTTGCATCATTATAGCTACGAAGTATAATTTTCGTATGATCTGGTGTGAGTGTGAAAACCTTAACTGTTTTTTAATCTATGTTTGTATCGTTGTAGTTAGAAGCATGGACTATTTCTAGTGTTGTATCAATAAAGTATGATTTATTTTAAGTGTGAAAATTTTTACGACTTTTTAATCAGTTTATGTTGTTGTAGCTTCGATGTATGATCGTCGTCGAAGCTTCGAAGTATGACTTGTATTAAGTGTTGTAGCTATGAAGTATGGTCTATTTTAAGTGTGACAAGTTTGCGTCGTTGTAGCTACGAAATATGGTCAGGAAACCTTAACGGCTTTTTATATGGTCTAAATTTGCATTGTTAGAGCTACGAAGTATGATCTAAAAACCTTTAACAGCTTTTTATATGTTTTAAATTTGCGTCATTGTAGCTACAAAGTATAATCTGTTTTAAATATGAAAACCTTAACGACTTTTTAGTCTAAGTTTGTGTTGTTATAAATAGTCTTTCTGTTTTGAGTGTGAAAACCTTAATCTGTTTTAAATATGAAAACTTTAACGACTTTTTAGTCTAAGTTTGTGTTGTTATATATAGTCTTTGTATGATCTGTTTTGAGTGTGAAAACCTTAATTGTTTTTAAATTTGTGTCATCATAGTATGAAGTATGATCTTCGTATAATCTATTTTTAATGTTGTTGACTATTTTTAATGTTGTTGATACAAAGTATGGTCTTTAATCTAACTTTTTAGTCTAAGATGGTCGTCGTTGTAACTTCAAAGTATTAATCTATATTGAGTATTATAATTGTGGATCTATTAATCTAAGTTCACAATTTTTGATCTGTTTTGAGAGTGAAAACCTTGGCTTTAGTCTAACTTTACAGCTTTTTTAGTATGGTTTGTTTTGAGTGTAAAAATTTTAACGATGTTTTAGTCTAAATTAGTCTAAATTAGTCTAAATTTACATCGGTTGAAATATAGTCTATCTTAATTGAGTGTAAAAACTTTAACGGTTCTAAACCTTTTTTAGACGAAACGTCTAAATTAGTCTAAATTTACATCTGTCGAAGTATAGTCTATCTTAATTGAGTGTAAAAATCTTAACGGTTTTAAACCTTTTTAGACGATTTGTTGAGAATTAAATCAATTTTCCAAATAACATGAAACAATATTGATCAGTCCGAAACAATATCTTTATGGGTTCACCACTTAGCTGTCTTTAAGATAAGTTTACCTCCTAGGAAACAAATATTAAGCTATCAAACAATGTTACGCTATCCCACATTTAACTAATTTCTCTTTCCATCATTATAACTTAAAATGTTCTTGATAATATATTCGGTGTAACCACAAATACCGTAAACACTATTTTCTATTAAATATTGACTAAAGATCACAAATATAATGCGACCAATAATACCATAAGCACCAGAAAAGATCACAAATATATTTTCAATTTATAAATATATTCCCGATTTATACACAGTTGTGTTTGAGATGTAACTGGACATATATTTTCGATTTCCATCCAATATTTTCATATTTTTTATGACTAAAATAATGATTGATTAAAATATATTTTCCATCCAATTTTTTCATATTTTTTATGATTAAAATAATGATTGATTAAAATATATTTCTGATTTTAAAAAGCATTAATATTTCTGATTTTAAAATGATTTTAAAAAGCATTTAAGAATTTTGGCATAGAGTAGAGGGTGGAAAAATATATCCTTTGATTTTAATGTCCACTTTCTTTTAATCACGCTTATGCATTAATATCTCCTACCCGTTTTGGATCTAAATCCAATTAATAGGTATTCATTTGTGAATATTGAAACAGATATATATTTGGTACTCAAATCGCTTTCGATCTAGCTCAGCATTAGTTCATCTATTAGGACAATTTTGTCACGCGAGCATGCTTAGCCTACTCTAACAATGTTTCTGTATTGAGTTAAAGTAATTTGTCAAAAACCTATTTCTACTTAATGACCCCTAAACATCATTAGTTATATGTACATCAAACTTTTTTAATAATGATATAAAATAAACTTAGTATAATTGGAAAATTGAGCTCCATAACATTGCATGCTCGCCATGTGTGAAAAATGTCAGTCACACATAAGAAGATAAAGCTAATTAAATATTCTTAATTAACAGAACTAAACAACTCCTTTCCTTTTCCTCACAATTCATTTATCCATAATACAAGATAAGCATAAAATCTAATTTATTAATGGAAATACAAATTACACATTGTATCATTTTCACAAACATACAAATTCAGAAAAGTAATAAACATAAAAATTACAAGATCGAATTGAATTGCAATTAAAAATAGAGACATAGCAAACAAATTAAGGATCATATAACTCACATGATCACATTACTATATCTACACTTAATTTACTTAATCAAATCACCATCATCATCATCATCATCATCATCCATCTACATGAGCAACTCATTCACCCACCCAAAATCTGGGTTGGCACTAACATCATCATCAACAACGTTAACCCTTTGTTCTTCCCTCAAAAACTTGCTACTACCACTTGAACTATAATATTTTCCGGCAGAAACAGGAGAAGGAGAATCATCACCACCAAAATTGAAACTCTCCATAGATCGAATAAGCTCGTTGAGAACATGCACATCTTTGGGATTTGAATTCGACAAAGGAGACAAAGGTGGTGAATTTGAAGAAGAAAAATAAGGTCCACTCAACAAAGTAGAAGTGGGTGATGAAGCAGAAGAATTAGAACAGCAATGACAAAAAGAACAACAGTTTTTAACGTTGTTCTGAGGAGGTGGTGAAGGAGGGGGTGGCAAAAGCAAAACCCTCAGTTGACGGGGTGTATGAGCAAAAAAGCAAATTTTGCGCTTACAATTCTTACCATCTTTACACGCTTCAGTTCTGTATCTCGAAGGATGCAACCAGCTTTCGAAAACACCGTGGGAGAATTCGCACGCGTCGCCGCGTTCGCAGTTTCCGCGGCGGTAATCAGGACAAACCTCGCCGGAGTATTGAAACCGGAGAGGGTCGCGACGGCGAGCCTTTTCGCCGGGGTGAGCGAAGGGACAGTCGGTCCAGTCGTGGCTGCGGCTACGTGTGCATCGGCGGATTTTAAACTCGTACATGCGGAAGTGGTCGGAGGAATACGGATCTTCCTCGGAAAACATGTCGGCGGAGGTGTTGGTGGGTTGTCGGCGGGTTAGGAGCTTTCTTGGTGGGATGTTGTCGATAATGTTGTCTCTCACAGTGAGGGATTTTTTGAGGTTAAGAAGAAGCTTTTGTTGCTCTTCACAAAGTACACTGCTCATTTTTTCCAATTTATAATTATAAATAAGAAAGTTAGGTAGAAGAAAAGAAAATACG